AAGATTCATTGTATGTGTGCTGCTGCCATTTCCACTTTCATCTTTGCCATCTTTGTATGTTTGTCATTGGAGAGATAAATAATATACTCTTAACTAAAATCAAATATCTTTATTTATCTGCTCTTGCAAACCATCTCTTAATTTACATTGCAATTATTTATATAATCGGTATAACATACACAAAATATAATCAATAAACTCGATCAGTATGGCTCTCATTTCACAGGCAAATAAAGAATTCGTATGACATAGATTTAAATTTTTTTAAATGCAAATGTATCAATTGCATTGATTGATTATTTCGTGGAAGAACATAAAATAATATGTAAAGTTGACTTATTATTTCTTATTTCAAAGAGTTTCATATTTGGGCTGTGCATTTGTCATGATATAAAATTAACTGATCAATTAAAGTGAATATTAATGATAACATCACAAATGGGGTTCAACAAATTATCTATCTATAATTCTATCTATATTGAAGTAAAAATGGAATGATGCGCTAGTCACATATATAAACTATCGTGTGACACAATTGTTCTTTGCACATTGGCACAGAAATGATAAATGACTTGATGTATAGATATTTTTGTTAAATGAAACATTGTTTAAAGATATATAGAATCACTACTACTACGTACGTATTTATGATCAATTATCTTCATAATTAAACGACACGTTGATAAGAGAGTTAATAATAAAACCTACTTTATTTTCCAGAAGAAGAATAGATGTTGATAATATATATGTAAATACGAAAAAAAGTTCTATAGATTTTTTCCTCAAATCGCAAAAATTTTACTCCAAATTTATTCATGCACGAAATATTATTCGATTACACTAGAAATCGTACATTAAACGCAGCGTTAATGCGTTTGATTGAAAATTGTGCGTTTTTTCGTTCATCAGGAAGATAATACTAACGTGAAAGTATTTTGTATGGTTACACGATTGTACCTAATGTGATCGAAAAACACGAATTTTAGAAATTACAAATATAGTATTCTCAATAAAAATTACATTCTTCTATCGCGATGCTTCTTTCGTGTATGAATACGTTATTATCGAAATGCGTCTGTTTTTTGACCAAGAAATATCCGATAAATGAGATTAAGTATAATTTTCGCTATGACTGTTAGATTCAATTCATTTTGGTCATAATATAAAAATATTTGCGCAATTTTGCAGAGCTTATATAATCACAACGATAAAATAAATGTCATAATATTACAGTAACACATAATACAACAGCTGCAACAACAGAAGTGTATCTTACAAAGTCTATAAATAGCACTTAAAAGATATATGTTTCATTGTATGAATTTTCATATTATGTTACTTTAGTAATTATTAAAACTTGGCTTATGTCAATTTTTCTACATAAATTGCTCTTTCTTATATATGATATTTTTAAGTTATATAGTTTACAATTGGATTAATCATATTGTAGAATATTTGACAAGTCATAGAGATAATCGATATCTTGAAATATCTATATCTGTATAGTACATTTTAGGTAGAAATCTTCTATCTGATTATCTTGATTCATAAGATTACAGAAAGCTATCAAAAGTCAATGCAATGGACTATTTAGTGATTAAACAAACACTAGGTTTTCTAGCATGCTATTGTTTGAATTATGTTGCAACTATCATTATAGCTTATGAGAAAATTGATATTTGACATAGAAAATATAAACGTAATATCACAATACAAAAGTCATGTTAATAATTAAACGATCATATGATCATGTTATTCGCAATACTATAGTTGGATTAGAGAGGACTTTGTGGCTGTGAATAAGCGTTTATAATTCTACACCAAATCTATCTTGTTTTTGTAATGTATAATATTGGAAAACGCAAAAGACGTATTAGTGAATATATGTATAATAGAATATATAATCTTTAATAGTATATCTGTATGTGCTATTAAAGGTTATACCGAATCTGGCGATAATTTCGGAAGAAAAATAAATGCGTAGTTGACGCAATGCTTTATTAACTAGTTTGTTTTCTTTAGCAACTAGCACACTAAATAAGATATTCTTTTTGTAGATTGCAAAAAGTTATCAGTAAAGCATCATGTCAATTATGCTATAAACTGAACACAGTCCCCCTAGTTTGAGGAAATAATGTAAAAGAAAGCATTGACTTTACATAGGATATCGTATCTCATCCCAATTATAGAAAACAGGGACAAACATGTTAATTAAATACAATAGACATATATAAACATACAAACACACTAAGAAATGCCGGAAAATTAAATTTAATATCTAAAAGATGGTCATAATCAGTCACAATCAATCTTTCGTCGCAATCATAATTAACAATAAGTGGAAATGTATGTACACTGCACATATGTACGATGTGACTATAATGTGTGCTTCAAATTTAATATTAGTCTATAGTTAGTATAATATTATTTCTTATTTTATCTCGATTATATAATATACTAAAAAATAAATAAATCAACAATCAATACAATTAAATTTTACAATGAAATGTATATTTAAAAAATCGCTTAAACAATAATGTGTAAAAATTGAATTTTCTTCTAGATATTTAAAATTAAAATGCTCTTCTGTAATTCTGTAATTATAGTTATATATATCTTCATTCACACAGAGAATATCTGTATAAAAACAAGTGGAAGCATAAAAGAGACAAGTAGAAATGTAGAAGCGTACCTTATATGTATATATAACAAAATATATCTAATATAATTTAGTGAATCTGTTACGTATAAATGCTAACAATGTTCCCACAATTTACAAAATGCATTCTAATGAATCATATTTACAACTCGTAACTCCACGAAAAATCATGTCAAATGTTTTCTCTTTTTCTATTTGCATATGATAAAGAATACTGTATAGTTCACAATACACTGTTTTTCAAACTTATATCTAATTAATTAAGAGTGATATTTATAATTCTTCAGCATATAATTTTGTTAAGTTTTATACTTATTTCACCACTTGTACATTTTTTTCTTGGTTTCAAGATGTATGTCTTTAAATTGAAACAATTTTTTGTTCATTCTATGATAAGAAAATCATATATAAATTTTCACGTATCACGAATGACGTTTGTACAACAATGATAAAATTTGGTAACTAGCTAGGTGAACGAAAGAATTACAGAAAAAGCTGTCTAGATTTTTGCGTGATTGGCGCAGCTAAAAATAAATTTATAAATTTATAAAGAAGAAGGAATGAAGAATGTACAATGTATACAATGTGTATATAAAATTTAACGTTATCTATCTTCACTCTGGAGAGATGTTAAAATATAAATTAAAATAATATCATAAGAGAACGTTAAGCAGATACTTAGTCTTTGGTTCCCACGCGGAGGCTTATTCGCTACTCTTGTAAGAGAGTATCTGCTTACTCTCTCTCTTATTTCCCTGTAAGATGAGGTTGCTCGTTATAGTCCACCGGATGGCGATCATTCAGCATACGACTTACCTGCAGCGAGGGAGAGCTGGATCTCGCGGTTCATCGCATGAAACACCTCGCTCATGGCACTTCGTGTTTTCTCCAATAATTCCTGCACATCGTCCGTACTGAGTCCCTCCGTGGAAATAGGTGGCAACGTTGTTACGAGAATGTGTCCTTGAATCAAATAAAATGTAATGCTTCTGATAACGTTATCTATATTTTTGAATAATTAAAAAAATTATTTCTACAAGTTGTTTTTTTTCATCTTTTAATGGACATTGTCTAAACAATTTCGAAAAATTCAAAAATTTGGCGCAAAATTTCTAGTTTGCAAAAAGAAATATTTTGTTGATTATAATATAAATAAAATTTTTATTAAAAACTTTAAGCGTGAAATTGTCAAAATAAAATTATCACTGATCTATATCTTTGAAAATAATTCTTTAAAATTTAATTAGATAAAAATTTCTTTCTTTTAATTTTCCGACAGCTTTCCTTTATTCTGTACTTTTAACTTTACAATTTCTTACCAGAATCAAATCTCTTCTCTTCCGCGGACAAGAAATAATAGGAGGAAAATACAACCGGTAGTATTGGCAATTGCGATCTGATTGCGACATGGAATGCACCCTTCTTGAAAGGATGTATCTCACCGGTGTTGTGTCTGGTGCCTTCGGGAAATATCCACAGCTTGATCTGCAAAGCATTGAAAGTAGCAGAAAGCTGGTTGATAATCAATGCGATTCACGCACGAGATTTTACCTTCTTGTCCCTGATCTCCTTCGTGGCGTTGTTGAGCACGGATCGCGCTTTCTCGGAATTCATTCTGTCGATGAAAATTAGACCGCACAACCATGCGCAGAGGCCGACCGGCCATGCATAGAAAATTTCTTTTTTGGCAACGACAGTGCATTTGTCCATCACCGGCCATAGATCGAACATTCCCAGTATATCTAACGAGCTCTGATGATTCGCCACGATTATGCATGCCCTGTCCTTCTCCAGGTGTTCCCTGCCTCTGAGCTCCCATCGCAATCCCAGCAGAGTACTAACGTGGTGGCACAGCGACGATGCCAACCTGCGAAATACCTTTCATATAGCACAACCACTGCAACTTGATAAAGTCGCAGAGACAAATATCTTTATTTTGAATAATTTCTTTAAGTATGTGGCAAATATGGACGAAATAATTCTCTTCATTTCATTTCTTCTCTTAAAATTATTAAATCGACGAACTTTATATATAATTTTATCAAAAAAATGATTATATGTAAAAACTATACATGCCTTGTTTGTGTATTTAATATTTCGATTTTATCATGACAAGAGAAGAAGATAAGATATATATACATTTATTTGATTTAAAGAAAAATATATTCTATTGAAATAAGGAATGCACGGCATAAATAATTTACAGAATATCATTAAGGAATATCAAGGAAAGTCAGTCAAATATTAGGAAAGATTTAAAGAAGAGAAAACATTTTTAAATAATTTAGACTGACTAGAGCCTTTTAAGATATTATTTCGGCAATCTCGAAAATTATTTGAAAAACATACATTAGCAGTACATGATTAAAGCTTTATAAAAAAACTCTAAGTTATGCGTCTCGTTCTTTAGAATTTTCTAAAATTTAGAATTCCAATAAATTTTTTTTTGTACTTTGTATTATGAACATGCTTTCATGCTTGGTTTTTATCAGGAGTGATCATCAATTATCGACAAACATGTTGACACAGCATGAGTTTCATTTATGTCAAAAAGATAGGCGGGCTAGAGACAAGGAAGGGACATCAAGAAATGGAATAATAAAAGTAATAGACTCAGAGTAAGAACAATTAAGTAGGAAAACTGGCAGATAAGAGCCAAGGCGCGGGTATCGGTGCGCGAACTTATTATTTAAATTTAAATTTTAAGTTAAATTTTATTAATTAATGTGCATTAAAGATGTACGTTTTGGACCATTTTTTGGTCCATCTCTTCAGCATGGATATAAATATATAAAGATTAAATTGGAATTTTAAAACTTGACATACACAACATTTGCAGTTGCAGTCAAATTTCAAATTAAAAATTCAAATTCTGATTATTATTTTTAATTCGAAATTTGACTGCAACTGCAAATGTTGTGTATGTCAAGTTTTAAAATTCCAATTTAATCTTTATATATTTATATCCATGCTGAAGAGATGGATCAAAAAATAGTCTAAAACGTATATTTTTAATGCAAATTAGTTAATAAAATTTAACTTACAATTTAAATTTAAATAATAAGTTCGCGCACCGATACTTGCGCCTTGATTCTTATCTGCCAGTTTTCTTACTTAATTGTTCTTACCCTGAGCCTATCGCTATTATTATTCCATTTCAACATGTTTGTCAACATGTTTGTCGATAATTGATGATCACTCCTGATAAAAGCCAAGCATAAAAACATGTTCATAATACAAGGTACAAAAAATATTTATTGGGATTTTAAATTTTAGAAAATTCTAAAATTTAAATGGTTTTCCTATTTAATTATTTTTATCCTGAGCCCCTATTGCTGTTATTATTAAAGAAATTAAAGAAATTTACACAATAAAAAAGAAAAAAAAACAAAAACTGATGGACATATACAAATGTTGAAAGACACAGTTTAAAAAGATCCAAAAATTATACAATTTTTAGTATTTAAACAAAAGGTAAGTATTGACATTATCGATGATTATCGATGTACTGCAAAGATAAAAAATTACCGCTTATAACTAATTATTCCTAATCAATTGAATAAAAATGAATGTTAATGTATATATTTTAATAAATTTAATAAATACTCGGGTATATGTAGATAGTATCTGAAATATTCGGATATCTGAGATATTAGCAGCATTAGGAAAAATATTTAAGTAAATATTTAATATTAATTCACATTAGCGTTTGTGAAACAAACGTAAATGGAACATGCCGTTGCAAAAAAAAAAAAAAAAAAATCTCTAAAATACGTGGGAATAATTAATAAAAGACGGTCAATTTGAAATTTTGCGCGATACTCTCTAATATTGTTTTATTAATATTAAATATTTTTAACAATCAAAAGAGTTAAAAATATTTAATATTAATAAAGCAAAATAAAAAGAAACATTAGAGAGTATCAAGATTTCCAATTGACGGTCTTTTATTAATTACTCCCACGTATTTTAGATTTTTTTTTTTTTTGCCACGGCATGTTCCATTTA